TACTTTCCCATTCATGCGGGCCGGGTAAGTTCTCACTCGCTGAAGGCAAAGCCCGGCTACCACATGCGTGCTGCGCGGAGTGCACCTGCCTCAGCTCCGTAGTAAAACTAAAGTTTCCGCGCACAAATAAGCGAGCGCGGCTTGTGGGGCTGTGCCCGCGGCTCCAGCTCGCTTCGGGTGGGCTTCTCCGGTCGCCGCCGCCGCGCTCGCTCCCCAGAGGACGGGGTGGCGACCGGGCAGCCGCAGCCCGCGGCAGGACGGGGCCACCCCGCACACCTGTGGCGGCCGGTCTCACCTGTATCTGCAGCGGCACCAGGCGCACCTTGCAGCGCTCGTTGACCAGGAAGCCCTTGGGCAGGTCTATGTACTGGCTCCACTCCTCGGCGAACAGCTGCACCACGAACTTGCGGTGCATATCTATTTGGTCCCCGTAGAGGCTGAGGAACTTCTGGATTAGCAGCTCGTAGCCGGCGCCGTGCGGCACGCTGGAGGGCCGCGCGAAGACGGAGAAGCAGAAGAGGACGGGCACTGAACCGCCGCCCGCCGGCGAGCAGCCCCCACCAGCCGAAGCACCGACTGGCTCCGCCGCCGCCATCTTCAGGGGCAGCCGCGCTCAGCTCTGCCAACTCGCTGCGGCCCGCTCCGCCACTCCTCCTCCCACCGCCTCCTCCTCCCGGCCGGGCGGGCGGTGCCGGCGGCCCCCAATCCCGGCTGCAGCTGCTCGTGCTCCTCCTTCTCCTCGCCATGGGGCCTGGAGCGGCCCCGCCACCTCGCGGGGCTGGGCTCGCCTCCGGGGCGCCCCACTCGGGCGGGCACTCTCTCTTACCGCCGCCGCCGCTCTTCCGCGGAGGGCGGGTGCCGCCTGCCAGGCGGGCGGCGGGAGGGGCAGAGCCTTGTCACCCGGCGGGGCCAGCCCGGGTCCAGCAGGGGAGCGCAGGCGGCGGTGGGGTCCGGCTTCTCCCGCCGGGGACGACCCCGTCGTGGGGTCGGCGCGGCCGGCAGGCAGCTCGTCTTTCCCGGGACGCGCCCAAACGCCGCAGGGCTGAGCGACTGGGGTGGGTGGCTGGGAGCCGCTGTGCCGCGGCGGCGGGCTGGCTGGCTGGCAGGCAGGGCGGGCGGTGGGGACTGGTGCGGCCGCACACCGCGGGAGCTGGGGAGGAACCTGTTGATGCGGGTTGAGAGGTGCCCGGTTTCTTTCAAGCGTGAGCTAGTCCGATCTTAGAGCTAGATAGGGAACAGCTGCTCGCTCTACCGGTACCGAAACCGGTATTTGAGTATAACACGAGGCTTTTCTCGGGAATGTCAGTTTGTGAACTGATGCACGCAGAGGTTCCGAACCTGCAATTGCACCCATAGATCATCAGAAGTGAGCAGGATGCCGTGTATCCACAGATTACATTCTTCCCAGCTTCGTGTACTCTGCGGTATTTCCAGATTCATTAACCTGCTTTTGTTCATTTTTTTCCTTTTTTTTTTTTTTTTTTCCTCTTCTGCTGCATTGTGCTTGGCAGAAAGGATCCTACTATTGTGTTACACTTGTAGAAAGAAAATCCTCTTAACTCCAGTGTTTTGGATGTTTTTATGCGCTATCCAATCAGCTGCACCGCCACCAAGGTTAGTGGATGTCTGCCTGGCTCAGTATTCTCAAAGTTGTTCTCGTGCCTTACTCTGATGTGAGAAATACAGAGCTGTCACATTAAATGGCAATGCCGCTTCCATTAGATTCCCCCCCCCCCCCCCCAAATGATTCATTGTTGGTGCAAACTGATTTAAAAATTGCAAGTGCAAGGAGCTTTTCACAATTCCGTATTTACACACTCATTACCTGCTAGGCACTGAAGCATCCTGAAACGTTTGGTTTTTACACTACCAAAGAAGCAAATGTGCAGTAGCTTCTGCCCATTACAGGGAAAACATTCAAGTTTCACTGTGTCTAGGTAGAAATTACACAGTAAGGTTTTAAAAAGATTCCATCGCAAGTCTGAAATACACACTGATTCTGCCTTCTATTACTGCCGGTGGATTCACAGAGAATTTGTGCCTTCATTCCAGAGGAGGTAGTGACATCTGATTGTATTCATCCTAAATGAACAAATCTCTATGATTAAGAAGTGCTTTTAAAAGAGTAAATACGCAGCAAGTTCTGTCCATCTGCGGTCTGCTTAAACGCTTGAGCCTGTCTCGTGTGACAATATTTAGCTGGGAAAACAGCAATTTTCACCTCTAGAAACACATATATGGGAGCATTCGGTGAAATGTATACAATTCTGTTCCACCTGCCAGGTAAAATATATCAAGAAGACAGGGTTCAGGGCTTCCTTTAATTCTTTGTCCATGCTTACTGCTCTGCTGATTTAATTTATGAATACAGCCAGTCATTAATGCTGTTACAATAGAGGCATATGGGGTGAACAATTTTATGGCTTACTCATTAGCTGACTTGAATCAGTTCCAGATTTCTGAGAGAAAAGGTGACAAATTGAATACTCAGTGAAGTCTGTTTAGTTTCTGTGACTTAAATTGGCTTCCAGTTCTTAATTTGTACTTTCTTTTAATTGAGTGCAGTTCCAAAATTCAATGTATTTTTAAAATGTAGCATGGGTAGGGTTTTGCTGATTAATGGTATCTTAAATGAGCTTCCTTTTTCCATTATAGCATTATAGCAAGATTTTCTAACTAATACAGTTAACAAGATACACTGTAGCAAATTTTTACCTTTCTACAGTTGCTGTCTACCATGAATATATTTGAATACAAATTACTCAGTTAGTATGCAGAATACATAACTGATATTTTGGTAAATTGACCAGATTCAAGCTTATTTAAATAACTGAAAATTTTGGTAACAGGGTAACCAAACATTTGGTAACATTTAAGCTACAGGGATTAATCCAAAATCTGGATGAGCAGGGGCTCTTCTACTGCAGGTGACCATTGACCCTGTCTGGCTCAGATCAAGGAACAGGAAGGGAGAGGGATACAGACATACAGAGTTGGGGGCTGCTCCTCCCTCTCTCCCTGTCCAAGGTCTTGCAGGCAGGGCAGGGGAGGTCAAACACCAGATCTCTGTATGTGCGCATAGGAAGGTAAAGCCCGATAGCTGCTTTCTATGCAACCCATTTGTCCTTGCCAAGTGACACCTAACCTTGGCTTTTATCTGCATCTTAACTCCACTTGTATCGTAGTACACCACCTTGGATCTTTCTGCATTTTAAATTTTCTCTCTTCACCCAGCCACTCCACAATCATTCTTCTTTTTTTCACTCCACAATCAGTCTTTCCGTATGTAGTTGAGTTTTAACTCTGAAAGCATTTAGGTCATTTTGAGTGGCTTCCTGTGCTTGGATGCTGCTGTCCCATAGAGAAAGACACTTCTCATGGAAGTAGATCTCAGACTATGAATTTTTCTACCCCAGACTCTGGTAATCTTAAATTTTTTAAGTATCATCCCTGAGACACATACTCAGGAAGGGACTCTTTCCAAGCATCACCAGCTGGGTGCGAGTTAAATTCACTGACTTTTCATGTGCCTTCTAATCATACAGATCCTGTGGCAGCTTCTAATTAAGTTGCAGAGGTCTGGCACCATCACAAATACGAGGCTCTAGCACACATAGAAAATCCAACATAGCATTTTTTGCTTCACTTAAAGAGAAGGGTTTGATGCGCTGCACAGGGAGAACGTCCAACAATCCACATTATATTGGCCTAAAACAAAGATGTCCTTTTACCCAGTTTGAACAATAGGTGTGTGTTAGAGAATTTGTAACACATCTCTTTGGCACTTCACATTGCAAGCAATGTGTGATTGGTTCTTGAGCACAATCAAGAAAAATACATCTTCTAGAATGTCAGTGTTACTGATCTCCAGTCATGGTTTTGCTTGGGTTCTTTTAGGTGCTGCCAATCTCACACTTAAAAGCTCAGCATATGCCAAAATCATAAAAAAGTGGATATAATCACAGCAAATATGCCTTTCTGGTGGTACATACAATAACACACTATAAAGAAATTTACTGGAAACTACTGAAGTATCAGAGATTTTAAGTGAAGGCCACATTTCCTTAGCATAATTCTAAAATTTCTATTAAGTATTCCTATTAGCCAGTCCATTGGCATTCTGCTCAGAGTCAAGGCTCTGCCTCCCACATGGGACCTTCCTTTCCTGCAGCAGAACTGAACAAGGTCATCTATCTGTAGCCTCTGGAAAGCATTTGTTTGTTTGGTTTTGTTTGTTTTCAGCAGTTAAGAAGCACATCCATTAAGTGCTAGGATGGGTAAGGTGAAAGAGATGGAAGCTCATACTTAAGATGTAAACTTCATAAAGGGAAAAGAACTCATTTTTTTGTAAGACAAAACCAGTTCTTTATCCTAACTTTTGAACGAGGGTTTACCAGTTTCTCTATTCAAAGTTTCAGAAGTATATTTTCTGCCTGATTCATTTTACTTGGGTGTTTCAGTCTACCTGGAAGCCTATCATATGGTCATTTTCTGTAGAACAAAACACAACGTTCTACATTTGAATAAACCTACAAAAATTACACTCTCTCCAAACTACTCCATTGAAAATTACAGTTAAATCATCCGTAGTGTAAGTCCTAGGAAAAAAAATAAGTTACTGCTCTGGTGGTGCCTTCTGTATGAGTCAGAAAAAAATGTGAATGGTGAGGCAGTCCTGTGCAGTTTTGTGCCTTGGAAGTGCAAAGCAAGGAGGTAACTTTAAAATCTGAGAGAGCCAACAGATTTCTTACAAAATCCTCTTTGGCACAGCAACTGCCTGAAATTTACGCATCCGCAATAGGAAGGAAGTCAAGGAAAAGGGAACACCCATACTTCATAAATTGACATCCATAAATACACTGCCTTTCTGAACAGTTTCATTGATTTTCTATTGTATCAGTGTTACTCTGTTCCCCTGGGATATTTCAGAATGCTTTTCATCTCATGCCCAAATCACTGCTTTTATTTCCTATGATGGCATGTCACAGATAACATTGATAAAGCAACAGCATTGCCACAAAAACCTTTGTTAGATTTTTCATCTTGTCCTGAAAACCTGTATTAAGCTACCTTGTTGTGGCAGTGTAACCACATTATCATGCAGCTAACGCAGATAGCTTAGGTCTGCAGTCCTGACTTTGTAGTCCCAGCTGATCTCTCTGTTGACTTCAATATATCTGGCTAGATCTGTATTGTATTTTAAAACTACCCTTGACACTGGGCTTACAGCCAGATTTGCTTGCTATCTATACTTAATGCCTGAGATAGTGTCCCTTGCACTGGCTCTGTAGCAATTCTGCTGATACTGCTGGGGTACGTACTGCAGGTACATACTTTGCACTGCTGAGTTGTGCCAGCTGCAGAGTGGATTGCCTCAGCGCTCCGTACTTGGCACAGCCACTTCTGTTTGTCTCATCTGCAGGAGCATTTTCTTAACACTGCACAAAATCCTTTCTAAGAGATATCTATATTTCTGCTGCAGTTTCGTGCAATGGCAGTCTGTGTATGAAGTGGTGGAGTCTTTGGGCATTCTGGATGTCAAACTGACCCTGAGATCAGACAACCCAAACATTGCTCGTGTGTGAGCTAATTAGCTTACAACTCTGTTAATGCTGTATGTTCAAATGACAGACAAGTGTTTGCAGCAGCATGGACGGAAGTAGCTGTGACTGGCAAATAGCTCCTGGAATTTCCTGGGAGAATAAAGCACTCTTCACTTGGTTGGATTTGCTTCCTTGCAAGATTTGGAATTAAGTTAATAATGATAATGTTTTTAGCTTTACCTCTAGAGTCATCTGCCCATGTTGCCCCTTTTATCAAGAATTATCAGACTATTTTATTTCTTTATTTTTAAGACTGCCCATTACATAAAGATACCTCAAAGTAAAAAGCACGTTACCGTGACAAACCTCTGCCCCTCATCTAATTTTGCAGCTTGACAGGTGTTTCAAAGCTAAAACCCCTGTCTTGGGCTGTATTTTGATATCCTAAATTCCTTTAATGTATAACAACAATGGGAACAGGATAGTAAAATGTGACAATGGTAACCATATTGATGGTAACCATATTGATAAAATATATGAATATGTAAGATAAAATAATAGAAAAAGGAGCTTACTGAATAATTACATGATTGTTTTCTCTGTGATATGTGAAAATAAAAGGCCTTATATATTTTCTTCCAGGTTTGGTAGTCCTCACATTTCTACCGATACGAATAATTACATCCTTCTCCATTACTGCATTAAATACGGTACGGCAATTCTGTTAAAGCACATTCTTAGTGATTATCTTTTACCTTTGTCTGAATCGCAAAGTACAACAGACAATTAAATCTTCAAGATCAGGTATTGCTGCTGTATCCTGTTCAGGAATACTTTAATTACACACAGAATTATTTGGAATTGCAGCAGTTGTTCATCCAAAGTCTTGGTTAAGTTTCCTTTTGAAACAGGTTTATTACTTTTTTGTTTTTTTTAAAATGTTGATGTAAATGTACAAACATATGCTTTGCCAGTCAGACAGAATCTCACCAAACAGAAGAGGGCTTTTTTCACCCCCTGGCTTCAAGCCAGCTAATGACCATGGTAGAAACATTAAGGCATACCTGGTAGAATCCATTTTGTTGACTGAAGGTTGATGAACCTGAAAGCATTTCCTTACTGATATAATTGATCTGCATCTCTTGCAGTTGCTCTTCCATCACCCTTATATGCATTAGGTTTTGTGAGTTATTTAAGGTTTCTGTTTAATTTTTCCTTTGAATCAACAATGTTTAATCATGTGTAATACCAGTTGCCATACTCAAGATAGTTTGGAGTATTTTCTGTACTATGCCTTTTGCTTGACCCACAGTTTATGTTTGCTTTTGATCCAAAAATGGTTTGCACATTTTTTAATCAAATAAGCTACTCTTGAAAGAATTCTCAATTCAAATCCTTTGTTTTGTGTAGTTTCTCTCCAATTCATCAGAACTCTATTAGTTCCGGTAATCCTGTTGTATATTCAGAAGTCACTGCATGTAGTTTTGGTTTTTATTTGTTTGTTTGTTATAAGGCAAATGTTTTATGAGCAGTTGCATTTGGGAGATCTGTAGTTTCCGTAGTTGGAGCAAACTTTTTGTGATCATACTTGGAAGAGTTCATACACTATGCACCAGGCAGTATCTTTCCATGTAGTCATGTATATAAAGGGGCACCTTTTTATTCATGCTGTTAGCAATTCTGGACCTTTTCAGTTTGTCTAATTAGGTGGACAAAGATGTAGGGAGCTATCAGACCAGACCTACTTTGTTTCCAGTTTTAAGCTGTATATCCTTTTTGTAATGACTAAAGCAATAGTTTACTGAAAAAAAAGGAAAACATTTAATGCATTTTAATAGTCAGGACAATGAAACACTTCTTCAACTATTGAAGATGATTTGAAATCACCCTGTTGTGTTCTGAGAACATAACTGAGCTTGCCATTAACTGTCCTTTTTCTCTCCATTTTTACATAGTTCTTTTTATCATCTCCTTGAAGACATTAAATTCAGCCTATGCCAATACTGAAATTAAAAGAAGCCTCAAGGAATTGTAACTCAAATTATTTTTCTTAATGCTTCTGTCTCTATAGGTTGCAAAGCCCTCTGAGCCGTCTGTTTCAGGATCCTAGAAAAAACAAGGCATGTGAACAATTTGCTGTGTACAAGAGGGCTATTCCACCAGGTAAATATTGACAGGGTACAGGGGGTGGTAGCAAACCGCTGGAGGCAACACATGGTCCTGCAGCAGTTGGACCAGAAAAGCAAAGCAGTTCAGGAACAGCAAAGTCTAGTAATGAGGCAGATGTGAGGTCAAGCCAGGAAAGTTTGGACAGCAGGCCAGGGTTGGGATCAGCAAGGTATTTGCCTGGGCAGATGTATTATCGGATGAGTAAGTTAGCCTTTAATCTTTAAAAATATATAATTTAAAAATATATTAGTTAGACCTAAACTCTGTAGTGTAATTTAAATACAGCTGAGTTTTGTCCTCTCTGCTCCTTTCTATGCATGAATAGCTACCTGAATCAACAAGGTATTTCTATCACATTTTGCCTTGGCTTTTTCTTTGAAATGCTTTCTTTCTTGGCATGCTTTCTGACTACATTGGGAAGTGTAGTTTCACTCTTACAAGGAGTACCAGCAAACCGTAACACAGAGGAAACAACTAGGGTTTTTCAGGAGAAAAGAAATATCTTCTGTCTGCTCTTTCACTCTCAGCATTTGTCTACATCACATATATTTTTAAATAAACCACTTCAGTCCTCAGTTTCCCAGTTCTAAATATTTTATTTAGAGGATGTAATTTACTAACCCAAGAGCTCTTTCAAAAGCTTTCTAACTTGATTATTGTCATTTGGAACATCTGCCCGACAAACTTCTGCATTAGCAGCTACTGAATGAAATGTGGTTTTCATTCCTCAGGAGATTCGTTGGTTTAATTCCAGGAATCCTAAATCTGTGAGTGATTTTGCATTAACTAAAGAATTATCCCTTGCCTTCCATTACCTTAAAATTAACTTTTTTTTTTTTTTTTTAGGTGGAATAACAGAACACAGGAGAAAAAAACAAGTCCAGAGCACAGGCAGGCATTTTTAGCCAGAATCCACTCTCAGTACCTTTGAGAGACCAGAATGAATAGCCTCATCATCAGCCCAGGTGTGGCAACACTTGCACACATTGGGTTATACTAATAACAGTGAAGCTGAGTGGTAGTTGACCCACTTTGCAAACAAATACATAGATGTGTCTGAGACATTTAGTGGCTACAAAACTAGTAATTTCTTGAGTTTGGTTTCAGTGCTGTAGCATTCAAAAAAAAGCAAAAGATGAAAAAAAAGCTGAAGAGAGAAAAAAAAAGGTACTTTTTCTTAAAGTTCTTTGTCTTTTCAGGGATTTCTGCTAATAGGAGTAGGGCTTGTGTGACTATTTGTTCAATGATATAATGTAAAATGAATAGTTGTTGAAAGCTAGGGCTAAAAAATCAGTAATTTGAACAGGGGTTTATTAATAAAGAATGATGCAATGGAATGTGCAGGGCCAAAATTACTGTTTTTTCAGTGAGTTCAACTGAATGGCATTGGCAGTGTTACTTAAAAGTTTCAGTACGTAAAATCCTTTTCTTTTTTCCTAATAATCCTTGGGGGTTACTTCAAAATGTAATGATCACATGAATTATCTGGGGTTTAGAAAAGGAAAGGGAAAGCAGAACTCCAGTGCCAACTGTGGGACTGTGGCTTTGAGCAGTCTGTGTTGATAAAGCACAATGCCCTATCCTCTGTGAGAATTTGCAGTGAGGAGGGAAGCTCCATGAGGACCAGCAGCTGCCAGATGTGGGAATTAGCAGTTATAATACAAATCTAATTGTTCAGAAAAACTTTTAGTAAGGTTAAAAAACCCTGCAGCTTTGTAAACTGGACATAAATTTTTCCAGTACCTGCTTCTGGGTGAAGTCTTGTCACAGAAGATACTTAATGCACTTGCAGATCAAAAAATATCTATGTAGAACTACTTTTTCAATGGAATGACGTCAAAATCAGTAATATGTTTGTCTTTTAATACTTTACTGAATTTTGCAGGCCATATGCTATCTAGTCTATTGTTTCTGTTGATTTCTCTGTACAACTTCAAGTCCTGCTGGCTCCTGTAATGAGAAATGAGCTTTATGAAACAGAGACAGGATGGCGGTGGCACAAGGCAAGATACTATGATTTATGGAATGCAAAAAGAATTACTTCGCTTCAAATTCTGCAGGTCCGTGAATATACAGGATCTGAATGTAACTGTGGAAATTGCCAACAGAACCTGTACAGCGCAACTAACATGAAGGTTGATTGTCATCCACTGCTTGGCTGTGTAAGTACTACTGGTGATAAGCCAACAATCATCATTTGGTCACAAAACTTTTTTTCGCTAGAAGCAGTTTTTAAAAACTCCTTTTATGACACTGGTCTTTGTCGATGTCGTGGTTTAAACACAGTCAGCCATAAATCACGCAGTCACTCTCTCACTTCCCCCCCCCCCTTTTTTGCCTTCCCCCTGCTCCCAGAGGGATGGGGAGGAGAATCGAAAGAAAGCAACTCCCACAGGTTGAGATAAGAACAGTCCAGTAACTAAGGTATAACACAAACCACTGCTGCTACCACCAATAATAATAATGATAAGGGAAATAACAATGGAAGAGAATACAACTGCTCACCACCCGCTGACTGATAACTCTCCCCACCCCGCCCGACAGAGCACTGACCGATACCTCGTGCAACCCTGCTGTGAACTAGCCCTTCCAGGTAACTGCCCCCTGTTCTACATCCTGGGCATGACATGCTGTGGTATGGAATACCTCTTCGGTCAGTTTGGGTCAGGTGTCCTGTCTCTGCTTCCTTCCGGCTTCCCTCCTCCCTGGCAGAGCATGAGACTCAGAAAGTCCTTGGTCAGTCTAAACATTTGAGCAGTAACTAAAAACATCGGTGTTATCAGCGTTGTTCCCAGGCCGAAAGTCAAAAACTCAGCACTGCACCAGCTACTAAGAAGGAGAAAAATGACTGCTACTGCTGAACCCAGGACAGTCTACCAAAGCAAGGCAGAGATTATCTTAACTAGGTAAGGTATTGTCTAAGAAGAACAGTACTTGTGCTGAACATTGATTAGCGAGGTTCAAGAAAAATACAGACTATAGGATCAACATTTTAGTCAGGAAGGGCTACTTTCCATTTAATGTAATGAGCTAGCTGAGCAAAATGAGTGATCTCAAAAATATGTGACAATATTTTGCTTTCTTGTGTGCCACATTTCTCTCAAGGAATTTAGTTTTCATATAGCACAAGGGGAGCCAAAAGGTCTTTAAAAATAATCTGTACATCTGGAGAATACTTAATACCCCAAGCTAGTTCAGGATATACCCAACAGGTGGCATAGGAACTCCTCAATGTGGCAGAGATATGCCAGTATAAAAACAGACTAAGAAAATGGTGAGTTCTACTTAATGTTGAACTACATATTTCCCAACAAAACCAATTTGTTAATGGCAAATTACAGGTATTTGGGTAGATACAAGCTTTGCTTTGCAAAAGCTGGATTTTTGTAGGCAGCAAAATGGAAATGGAATCATAGGATCATAGAATGATAGAATGGTTTGGATTAGAAAGGAACTTAAGTTCGTCTAGTTTCAACCCCCCTGCCATGGGCATGGATGCCTCACACTAGACCATGTCACCCAAGGCTCTGTCCAGCTTGGCCTTGAACACCGCCAGGGATGAAGCGTTTCTCTGGGCAAACTGTTCCAGTGCCTCACCACCCTAAGAGGAAAGAACTTCTTCCTTATATCCAACCTGAACTTCACCTGTTTCGGTTTGAACTTATTACTCCTTGTCCTGTCGCTACAGTCCCTGATGAAGAGTCCCTCTCTGGCATCCTTGTAGGCCACCTTCAGATACTGGAAGGCTGCTATGAGGTCTCCACACAGCCTTCTCCAAGCTGAACAGCCCCCACTTTCTCAGCCTATCTTCATACAGGAGGTGCTCCAGTCATCCTTATGGCCCTCCTCTGGACGTGTTCCAACAGTTCCATGTCCTTTTTGTGCTGAGGACACCAGAACTGCACACAGTGCTCCAAGTGAGGTCTCACGAGAGCAGAGTAGAGGGGCAGAATCACCTCCTTCGACCTGCTGGTCACGCTCCTTTTGATACAGCCCAGGATACGGTTGGCTTTCGGGGCTGTGAGTGCACACTGAAGCCAGCACATGTTCAGTTTCTCATCAACCAACATCCCAAGTCCTTCTCCACAGGGCTTCTCTGTATCACTTCTCTGCCCAATCACCCAGCAAAGAATCCACATACCTGGGCTACGAGCAGCCAGTTTCTCCAGGGGAATGCTGTAGGAGAGTGTCAAATGCTTTACTTAAGTCCAAATAGACAATGTCCACAGCCTTTACCTCATCAACCATGCGGGTCACTAGGGGGGTCACCAGTCAATCTCCTCCTCAGATTCCCTTATGCTGCTTAGCCCTTCCACCTCCTCCCATAGCTCTGCCACCATGCAGAGGAAACCATCATTCTGCTGGCATCTTGCACAGCTGCCATCTCGTATCACCAACAAGTTCTTGTATTCACTACAGCCAGACGTCAGGAAAGGTACATGTTAATGAGGGACATCTGTCTGTCACCATGTCCTTCCTGGACAGCAGAGAGGACCCAGTTTCCTTTACTTTCTGCTGAGGGGATGCCATCCTAGAGTACTGTCTCGATGACTGCTGGCTGAGCTCACCTCTGAAGCTTGCAAGACTACTGGGGTCTGTCCATATAAAGTACCATGTTCCTCTGTGCCCTGTTTGCCCACTCTCTTCACCACACTACTGGTCACTCACACTCCCAAGGGTGGTGTTTCATCTGCTCAGGATATGTTCTGTACCTTATGACTTTTTTTTTTTTATTTAATTAGATTGCAAGTATATTTTGTTATTAGCAAGGAGAAAAGACTGAATTAGAAAGGAAGAATAAAAAGAAAATTGAATGGAAATTGTGCTAATCACAACAACCTGTTTTCACTGAATCACAAGTAACACTCTAGCTCACATTACTCTCATAGTCTTCAGTTAGTTTCTCTGCTGTCCATCATTCCAAACAGGCACCTTTTAATCTTTACATTTTAATTTGCTCAGGTTGAGGGGCTTTAATCAGAAAATATCTCATGAACATTTCCATTTTTAAGACTGTAAAGATCTGCACATGTATATAACCATCTGAATAGTTATTGCTAGCATAATTAGTGTTGATGTCAGAGTTTGACAACTGAAGATGCATTCCATGTAACTAGATTAAATTTGCTTGTCTGACTTGGAAACCAGTGACTATATTTTGGGTACATATACTTAACAAAGATGCACAAATACTTATAAAAAAACAATGAATAATGATTTTTACCAGACAAAGAACTGTGTACCAAAGTAAGTTGTCTTTCTTTTGGATCAAACCTGCTTTTTTCAGACTGATTTTAAAACTAAAGATAAGTCCTGCTATACAGTTAGCAGTGTAAAACACTGACAACTGTGTTTATCTGTACTCAGCAGGTTGCACAGAACGAGCAGAACTCTTTTGATGCTAGAATTCCCATTAAAGGCATTCACTGCTTTATTGCAAAATATGCTTCAAATAATTGAGTACTGAATACTCAATTTGTTATAAAGTTTTTTTTTTTTGTTTGGTTTTGCTTTGTTTTAAAGTGAATTGAGCCATTTAGTCAAGTAAGTTCTAAACTGAGAACCACCACAAAGAACAACTTACCAAAGTTAGCCATCCCTAAACTGGTACCACAGTCTGTACATACTTGCAAGAACTATTAGTTTTGTCAGCATAGCAGTACGAGTTACTTGAAGAAAAGGAGGCAAAAAAAGTGGGGTTTTGCCAGTCTAAGTGTGATTTTTATAAGTAAGAATTATTCCTATATATGGTACAGCTGAGATAACTCAAAACTCCACACTTCTAATGCAGGCCTCCGTAATAATAGGAACTATGAAAACCATATAAAACTCACAGTGGCAGGAGCAGCTCCAGATGGAAATAGGTCAGTGTATCTCCTGTATGAAGATTGCTTTGTTATACTGCAAAAGCAATTCTAGACTGATTTGAACTTTGTCTGATGCAGTCTTTGGAGAAACTGAATGAAGACTATTTTGGTAAAGGACTCTCAGACTGTGGAGAGCTTGTGGGTTTTTTAGTGATGCAGGGATTTCATCTCACTCTTATAATGACCTAGTTTGTTTAAGACTTGCATTGCTGTCTACCTCATGTAATCTATTTGTATAGTTAATGGTATAAAGGTATTATGTCCTGAATACCAGGACATAGAGGACCTAATGATCCTCTGTTATCCTTATGGAAAAATGAATTATTGGACTATGCTGTCAGTTATTGGCAGTACTGTTAATAATATACTTCATGCTAAATGGATTCTAAAACTACTACTATTTATGTACTATTTAAGACGCTTATACAAGGTGGAAGCAAGGACAGGCGGCCTGGGAAGAATACAGGGATGTCCCGGAAGCTAGGGACCAGGTTAGGAAAGCTAAGGCCCAGTTAGAATTAAACTTGGCTAGGGATGTGACAGATAACAGGAAGGGATTCTATAGGTACCTTACAAATAAAAGACAGACCAGGGACAACATGGGCCCTCTCCAGAAGCTATCGGGAGAACTGGCTGCCCTGGATTTGAAGAAGACTGAGGTTCTTAATGACTTCTTTGCCTCATTCTTCACTGGCAAAGGCTCTGACCATGCTGTGCAAGTCTTGGAAGGCAGACGCAAGGACTGAGAATGAAGACCTTGGGCCCTGTCCTGGATTCAGCAGCAGCAGTCAATTTCCTCCTTCTTAGTAGCTGGTGCAGTGCTGTGATTTTGACTTTCATCCTGGGAACAATGCTGATAACACCAACATTTATAATTGCTGCTCAGTAATGTTTACTCTGACCAAGGACTTTCTGAGTCTCATGCTCTGCCAGGGAGGAGGGGAAGCCAGGAGGAAGCGGAGACAGGACACCTGACCCAAACTAACCAAAGGGGTATTCCATACCACAGCACGTCATGCGCGGTATATAAACTGGAGGCAGTTACCTGGAAGGGCTAGATCACTCCTTGAGTTGGGCTGGGTATGGGTTGGCGGGTGGTGAGCAGTTGTATTCTCTTCCATTGTTATTTCCCTTATCATTATTATTATTGGTCGTAGCAGCAGTGTTTTGTGTTATACCTTAGTTACTGGACTGTTCTTATCTCAACCTGTGGGAGTTTCTTTTGATTCTCCTCCCCATCCCTCTGGGAGCAGGGGTGGGGGAGGAAGGGGGGAAGTGAGTGAGCACGCTGTATGGCAGCTGAACTTAAACCACGACAGGCCCACTGTAGGAGAGGATCTGGTTCGAGACCATCTTAAGAACCTGAATGTACAAGTCCATGGGACCTGATGAAATCCATCCACGGTCCTGAAGGAGCTGGCAAATGAAGTTGCTAAGCCATTGTCTGTGGGTGATGGGATAGAAAAAGTTAACAAAATGGATCCAGGCATTATTGCCCTGGTCGGGCTTAAGCCTTGGGAACCCTAAAGAGAGCAACAAAGGGTAAAGATCGGTTAGCAAAACAAAGCAGGCCGTTTGCAAGATAAAGCAGGATGTGTAACTCAAAGACAGACCAAACGATGTAAATATTTGTAACCCTTACTAGGTTTGCTGAATTGGGTTGATAAGGAAGTAAGAGAGTGGAAAGTTAATGCTTAGCACTTAGTAGACTATAAAAGGGATGAGATGCGAAATAAAGGTCTTCAGATTTCACCAGAACTGGAGTCCGTCTTTGATGCGCCACAACTGTTTATCATATTTGAAAAGTCATGGCAGTCAGGTAATGTTCCCAACGACTGGAAAAAGGGAAATATAAACCCCATTTTCAAGAAGGGGGAAATGGATGTCCCAGGCAACTACAGACCAGTCAGTCTCACCTCTGTGCCTGGCAAAATCTTGGAGCAGATTCTCCTGGAAGGCATGCTAAGGCGCATGAAAATCAACAAGGTGCTTGGTGACAGCCAGCATGGCTTCACTAAGAGGAAATCCTGCCTGATCAATTTGGTGGCCTTCTATGATGGGGCTACGGAGCTGATGGACAGGGGTAGAGCAGTTGACATCATCTACCTGGACTTGTGCAAAGCATCTGACACTGTCCCACACGACATCCTTGTCTCTAAATTGGAGAGACATCAATTTGATGGATGGACCACTCGGTGGATAAAGAACTGGCTGGATGGCTGCATGCAAACAGCTGTGGTCAATGGCTCAATGTCCGGCTGGAGACCAGTAACGAGTGGTGTCCCGCAGGGATCGATGTTGGAACTGGTCTTGTTCAACATCTTTGTTGGTGACATGGACAGTGGGATTGAGTGCGCCCTCAGCAAGTTTGCCGGTGACACCAAGCTGTGTGGTTCAGTTGATGCACTGGAGGGAAGGAATGCCATCCAGAGGGACCTCGACACCCTTGTGAGGTGGGCTGATGCCAACCTCATGAAGTTTAACCATGCCAAGTGCAAGGTCCTACACCTGGGTCAGAGCAATCCCAGGCCCAGCTACAGGTTGGGCAGAGAAGAGATTCAGAGTAGCCCTGCGGAGAAGGACTTGGGGGTGTTGGTCAATGAGAAACTTAACATGAGCCGGCTTCAGTGTGTGCTCGCAGCCCAGAAAGCCAACCGTATCCTGGGCTGCATCAAAAGGAGCGTGACCTTTGAATGGAGGTGATCTTTCTCCTCCACTCTGCTCTCGTGAGACCTCACTTGGAGTATTGTGTGCAGTTCTGGTGTCCTCAACATAAAAAGGACATGGAACTGTTGGAACAAGTCCAGAGGAGGGCCACGAGGATGATCAGGGGGCTGGAGCACCTCCCATATGAAGACAGGCAGAGAAAGTGGGGACTGTTGAGCCTGGAGAAGAGAAGGCTGCATGGAGACCTCATAGCAGCCTTCCAGGATCTGAAGGGGGACTATAGGGATGCTGGGGAGGGCCTATTCATTAGGGACTGTAGTGATAGGAAAAGGCTAATGGGTTAAAATTTAAACAGGGGAAGTTTAGACTGGATATAAGGAAGAAGTTCTTTACTGTAAGGGTGGTGAGGCACTGGAATGGGTTGCTCAAGGAAGCTGTGAATGCTCCATCCGTGGCAGTGTTCAAGGCGAGGTTGGACAGGCCTTGGGTGGCATGGTTTAGTGTGAGGTGTCCCTGCCCAGGGCAGGGGTGTTGGAACTAGATGATCTTAAGGTCCTTTCCAACCTTAACTATTCTATGATTCTATGTGTAACTTTCTTTGGCTGCCTGATAATACTTTGCATTTAATTTTACTGCAAATAGCATTTTTTGAGACAGCAGATTCTGAACAGAAGGACATTCTCTCCTTGAGATTAGTTTTGACTTAATGAATGGGTTTCATAAATACTGGCATGTGTCTTATAATTTCTGCTGTTTGTGAGAAAGCATATCAGATTGGTGGTTGCATTGTGAGCGGGGGCCAGGCCACTGAAAATGAATCAATTTATTTTTTTTAGGTGGAGTGTCTTTTTTGTCTTTCCTCCCAGAGCCATCTAGTATTTTTTGATTTAAAAAAATGCAAACAAGAGAAAAATTAGAAGGTATTTTCTATGTCATGTGCAGGTATGGGAATGCTGGTGCGAGTGTGAGGTACAGTTCAGATGCTTCATCTCTTGAAAAACTGTATCTACCTGACTTGGGTGAGTAGGACACAATTCAGGATATGATCTGCTTAAGAACTTTGTATTTTTTTACTGTTTCCTAGGGATTACAAGGAAGATTTATGAAAGATAATCCAGACTAACTGTATTAACTGTACCAGTTAACTGTACCACTAGGACAAGAGAGTGGATATGTGTTTACACTTGCAGGAATTTACCTTCCTTAAATGATAATTCCAATCTAATTTCCTAAAACTAAACATTTCTTTCATCGTTGACTATCCTCAGTTGCAGAGGAAAACTTCAAGACACAGACACTAAATGTAAAACATACTTACCTTTATTGATTTTAATATCTCATTTTTTTACTATAAGGTTAGCAGTGAAGCTCTCCATTCACACTCCAGCCATCCTCAGATGCTTCTTTACCCCTACTATGTGAAGTTAAACTTCCCAGGCATATACTGGGGTAACTTCAGTGCCAGTTCAATGATCTACATATCCATGGGAAATGTGATGTTTTGCTGCAACATGCTTCAATGCATCTGCTGGCACCTAATCTACTGGCTAAAAGAAAGAAAACTACTGGATTGAAAATGATACAGTTTTCCCCTTAGGAAATATGGAGCCTATGGTTCTGTAGATTTTCTCTTTATTATTTTCTTGAGGTCATAAACATCTTATCTCTTGGGATAGTGTATGGGTCAGGACTCTGACCAGCCTTTCAAAACAGGCAGATCTCCCAGACTGTCTTGGTTACACTGAGGAATACAGGGCATTAGATGGAATTCTGTATTTTTAGTGGTCACAGCTGGGAAACCAACACCTGTAGGCTGCTCAAGACAATCAAGTTAGAACTGAGTCCTGCTGCTGCTGAAATATACCACAGAGCTCAAAACCACCAACTGGCTGCTTCATGGAAAGGTATTTACGTGTTTCCTCATCTTTTTTTTTATAGCTCACCCCCCACCTTTCTGTTGCATGTAAGAGGTAGAATCTTTTCTCTAGTCATAAATAGTATCAAATGTTCTAAAGCAAAATAAACTGTTACAAGATTAAATATGTTTCTAAATACCAGAGTACACTTTTTAAAATGTATTATTTGGCATAGAAACAGCATAATTTTTGATGTTCTAATGAAAGAAGGGTGATCCTGAGGTATATTCAACACAAGCTTATTGTAAGATGGGCATAAACCAGTTTTGATTTCAACATTTCAACAACCAATCCTTTCCTCAAAATTATAACGTAACTTTCAAAGTTGGGATTAATTTTATTGTAAACACTTGATTGTTAAATTTGTAGCTCGCGAGCAGGGAAGTGCAAGTATTTGCAGACAGAGCAATGGTACTTCCATCTGCCTGAATAACAACCAGCACCTTCCACCTGTCTTTCTGTCATATACAGCCATTTTGGGAACTACATAAAGAAACAGAAAAAGTGGAACAGCTCAGGAAGTATTAGACCACAGTGAACCGTTCCATCCATACCCAGCAGTCCTCTACTTTCCCCATCACGTACTTAACAGTTACAGTAACACCTACCACCAAGCATGATGTTGGTGTAAGCACAGCTTGTTCTTGCTGCTTTGTAAATTGCAAAACTGCAAACTTGCTTATTTATATTGAAAGTCCCATAACGAATACGGTATTCAGAAATGCAAACAAGCTATGAACCTTTGTGTGTTTTTTACCAGATCCTTGACTTGGGTTTTTAAGGAAAATCAATGAAAGTGATGATCAGAGAATCAAAAGTTAACAGAAGTTCTACTGTCTCGTTAGATGAACAAAGTAGAAAGAAATAAGAAAAGATAGTAAATTTTTTAAGTATGGTACATCCAACTTTTTTATGTGAGCCTGGTTTCTCACCACAGTGTAACAGAAGAGAGACTTACTGAAGTAACCCTTTCTATGATACTGCCTCTGGATGGTCAATGCTGGTATCACAATCCATTAGAGGAGAACACTGTGCAAGTAGTGTAATAGACTTTACTCAATCAGACCTAAAAAACTGTGATGTTAAAGAATTTGGTTTAAATAGCCTTATACTTTATTTTAAAACTTTTAAAAAGCAATGTATTAGGACATATGATTTAGAATTTTAAAATTTCTACTATATTTTGTACTAATAAAATAATAATATCTGGCAGTCATTATTAAGAGTAAGAAAACTATTCATTAGTCAATATGCATGACATACATAAAGTGCTGTAAAATTCTTTTAATGCTATATAAGTGATTTTCCCCATTAAGGTGCACATTTTCTCTGGCTATTGTTGATCCTCCACTAAACATTTCACAAAAGTTTGCACTGTCTTCAGAATTTGACACTCCGAACAGCCAGTATAAGAAATGAAAGAACATGGATTATGACAAAAAACTTTCAGCAGTGATGTTAGTACAAACCTCTTAGTTTTGGGTTTGAGGGCTTTATTCTGTGTGACTGTCTTCAATCTTATGTTCTATCAGAAGAAACTATGGAAAAGTTGTGTTTTCATTCAACCACTGCCAAGTCTTTGTTTCTTAAAATATATATTCAGAAGTAAATATAAATCTAAACTACATGAACACAGTGGCAAATTTTCTCTCTCAAAACAACTTGTGTCACAATACCTTTATGTTGAATCTTTTTTTTTTACTGTGCTTCATCCCACATATCATTCACGTTAATTTTGTACTAAGAAAAAACATCAGACTCAGCATTTATATTCCAAGATTGAGACAAAACAGATTTCAGTTATGTTCTACAGATCATGGATCATGTAATTAGAAATTGGTCTCAATAGGTAAAAAAATGATTAATAATCAATAATGATGAAGAGAGGAAAGATACAAAACATATCTGAATGTACGTATCAAGTACATAAAATATTATTCTGAATAACTATGTATAAATATTGGTAATTAGTGTTTTCTCATGCAGTAGCTCATATAGACTGTCCCTCAATAACCTATTATTAGGTTAAAGTTTAATTTTCCCAGATAAGATCATTTCATGTACTTCTTTGGTTAACAAGACATATGCTTTTTTAGAATTATCTAAAAAGTAGAGAGGATCAGTAATTTTAGATGGATTAAAACCTTCATCCACCAGTTGAAATTTTTGTTGTTTGAATGTTCCAGTCATTTCCATTTTATCCTATAGAAGAGAGAAAGATTTATTATTCAGTAGAACTTTTTTTTTTTTTTTCTCACATTCACATTTGTTTTTGAAAATCTTTCTTGATGTAAGGTTAATACTGTTACTACTTTTCCATTATCCTGGAAAACTAGAACTTCTCTGCTGCTGTGGACCAACCTGAAGATGTGGTGGAAAAAAGTTTCAACCCTTTGCTTTCTGCATTGCTGTGCAGCGTCTCATCACAGTGTCTCATCTGGTATAGCTGCAGCCTGCCCAGGACAATCTAGCTTCCTCATTTGTGTGTGCTTATAAAACTATACATTGTAAAGAATCTGAGGGTAAAAACTGTCATTATTAAGAACTTCCTGGTGGAACTCAGGAAATTCTAATTATTGTCACCCTAAATAAAGGATTTAAAAAAATCACATATGTAATCAACCACACTCATACTCAGCCAGGTCCCAACAGAGACAGATCTTTACCATACATCTTGTAATGCTTCAAGCTTCTTTTCAGTGTCACTGTGTCCCTTGGAAAAAGTAGTGGGAGGCATCTCTAGGGAAACTCTTTTATCTTCACTACTGCTTCTCAGCCATACTTTCTGACCTCTCTCCATTGTCTTCTATTCTGTTTTTACATATTTAAATATATGTGCAAACGATCTCTGAAAATTAGAAATTGAGAGCAATTGCATCTACCTGCTTTAGTTGGTCTAAGATCCGACAACTTCTAAAGTATGACTAAATGTCAGACAAGAACAACAGGTTTTTATCTTTTTGCCTTGAGCCTCCACCACTACCTTATTTCTTGGTTAATGACAGCAGTACCAACAGCAATTCGTCTGTAATGTAGGCATTTAAATCTAATAGAAGTTCTAGATACTTGATATCCAGGCTAGATCCAAGAGTCAGATTCCTTTTGCCCAGCATAAAGACTTTTTTGTACATCTGTATAGCAATAAGTCTGGACTAAGTTACCATCATTTTAGTCAACCTCTGATTGGCCCATTGATCCAACTTCCATCATTTCTCCTTTCAAGTAATGATTATTAATTTTTTTTTTCTTCAGACTTGGGAGACTTACTTAATAAGCACCTTCAAAACCGTTTTTGTCTTCGTCATTGTGCTTTTAGAGCACCAGAAATGAAGACGCATGACTGATTATTATGGTGGTGACAATAATAACGTACATTTTTAATTCACCTTTTCAATTTACCTAGTACCTTTTCAAATGCTTTAGCTTTTGTCATTAGTGTCACTAATGTCAATGAAATATCATTTTATTGTGCATAATCAGTATCTCCTGCTTTACCTCTACATCTCTCTTCTCTCATTTCCAGTTAATAAAATGGATTTTAGATTTTCTTCCAGACGCAATTGTCCATGGTTTACTAAACTGTATCTTTTTGTTTTCATGGTCATGCTTCTAATCTCCCTAAATGCTTTTGTACTATCTTGTCTTTACTCATTTGTACTCAATTCTTCCCATTTTAACATAATCTGCAAATTTTATTGATTTTTTATGTAATTCCTTTCCCAGGACTCCATTAATGAAGACAGAAAATAGGACCAGATATAAAACTAATCAAGTGATATATGAACAAGCACTTTCAGTTATTCACTTAGACATCTCTGTGTTCAGATGATGTCAAAGTTCTGTATTCTGTGCAATAATGCAGCTTACCTGAACTCTCAAAAAAAGAGGACAAGCATAATTTGGTAGATAGGTCACTACTTGTTTATATATTTGCTCCAAATCCAGCAATGTATTCTGCTTTAGAATAAGAGAGGCCATTCCTGCTTTTCCTTCATGACCTGGGAGGAAAAAGTGAGATAAGAATTTTAAAACATGGATGAAGTTGACATTTTAGTGATGAACCTTACAAAAAAGAACTGTAATGCATCAATAAAATGACAGTCATATATCATCTGTGTTTTAGTAAAGCTAGAAGATTATATTAATATATTATATGGTATTACATATATTTGGAGATCACTCAAGTGACCGATTAAGCAATAATGCTGTAAATGACTTAGGAGTCCCTCAATATTAATAAAGGTGGAAAACATCAACAACATTCTTCTCTCAGAAACAAGAGGGCTTGAGCCTCTTTCCTGGATGTCCTGGGTTCAGCAGTAGCAGTCATTTTTCTCCTTCTTAGTAGCTGGTGCAGTGCGCTGTTTTTTACTTTCAGCCTGGGAACAGCGCTGATAACACCGATGTGTTTAGTTGCTGCTCAGTAATGTTTACTCCGACCAAGGACTTTCTGAGTCTCATGCTCTGCCAGGGAGGAGGGGAAGCCAGGAGGAAGCAGAGACAGGACACCTGACCCAAACTAACCAAAGAGGTATTCCATACCACAGCACGTCATGCCCAGGATGTAGAACTGGGGGCAGTTACCCAGAAGGGCAAGATCACTGCTCAAGTGGGGCTGGGTATTGGTCAGTGGGTGGTGAGCAGTTTGTATTCTTTTCCATTGTTATTTCCCTTATCATTATTATTATTGGTCGTAGCAGCAGTGGTTTGTGTTATACCTTAGTTACTGGACTCATCTCAACCTGTGGGAGTTGCATTCTTTTGATTCTTCTCATCCCTCTGGGAGCAGGGGGAGGAAGAAAGGGTGGGGGGGAGTGAGCAAGCGGCTGCATGGTTCTGAGTTATCAGCTGGACTTAAAACGTGACACTGGATCAGATAATTATGTCTTCTCTTCAGTTTTAGCCTCTCTCTCTTGCCATTATCTTCTCTGAAAACTGTGGGTCTGAATGTCCTTAACACAGAGAGAGATTACAAGTATCTTACTCGTTTATGTGGAAAGAGAGAGCACTGTGGATCTATGGGAAAGATCAAAATCAGAAAAACATAGAAGCAATGAACTTCAGCAATCAAACTGCACACTTTAACCATCAGCTAGTAATAATGACATTCTGCCAATGTTATCTTTTGTCTCTTTTCTATATATAGGTTTGGGGTTTTTTTGTTTGTTTTGTTTTTTTTGCTAATGCTACAAAGTCTGTAAGGAACTTGATTTGTGTATGTTTAACTGCATATCGAGACAGTCACATTAACTGGGTAGGAATCTGCAGGTAAGACTTGTATAGGAAATTAGAAGCTCTCATATTTTTGTGTCTGATTTTCAATCAGTCTTCTTTATTATGATCTTTCTTATTGTGTGGCTTTAAATTAGAGGTGGCACCTTTTTCACATTTTAAACCCTTGTAATTTTGGGGTGGGTTCAGCCTGCATCCAGCCAGCTTCTCACTCACTCCCTTCTCTCATGGAATGGCAAGAGAACAGAAAGAAAATAAGACTCATGTATCAGGATAGTGGCAGTTTAATAGGTGAAGCAAAAGTTACCTGCAGAAGCAAAGGAAAACCAGGACTTCCTTAGTTATTTTGCATTGTCAGGCAAACACAAACATCTTATCCTCTTCCCTTTCCCGGGCTTTTACAACTGAGCATGGCATCATCTGATACAGAATGTCCCCTTGATTAGTTTGGGCCCTATGTCCTATCTACATCTGCCCCTGATTTCTTGCCCACCCCAGCATACTTGCTGCAGGGAGAAAACCTTGATAATGTGCAAGTTTTTTTTAGTGATAGCCAAGCATTGGTAAGTTATCAACACCGGTTTAGCTACTCATGTAAAGCGCAGCACTATACGGACTCCTGTAAAGAAACTTGTCTTTAACATAGACAGATAAAATACGCATTTTAAGAAAAGATTTAGCATGAATGGGAATCAAGCTCAGATGCTCTCACGAAAATTAACTTATTTTTCTTCATTTTCTTTTTGACCTTGTCCTTGGTTTTGTAATATAGCTGTTTATAGATGTTTTATGAGGGTAAGTGGAAGGTAAAATAATACAGAAGAATGTCATCATACACTTTCCCTTACAGTTACTTTGCCTACAACTTTTACCTTGTTGACATTTTATTTTGACACATGGATGTGTGGATTTTCCATGGTTGTGAATTTAATAAATCTTTAATTTACATTATGTAACTATATAATCTCTTGGGCTGGAAAGACGTTTAAGATCATTGAGTCCAACCATTAACCCAGCACTGGCGAGTTCACCACTAAACCATGTCCCCAGGCACCACATCTCCACGTCTTCTCATATTCATGTAAGATTACTTTAAAAAAAAACATTACTGCATGCATATAAAAATGCATGATTCATTGGCTCCTTTACAATCTGGGGGTATTTTCATAGAATCGTTAGGGTTGGAAAGGACCTTAAGATCATCTAGTTCCAACCCCCCTGCCATGGGAAGGGACACCTCACACTAAACCATGCAATCCAAGGCTTCATCCAACCTGGCCTTGGGCACCGCTAGGGATGGAGCATTCACAGCCTCCCTGGGCAAACCATGCTAGTGCCTCACCACCCTAATAGGAAAGAACTTCTTCCTTATATCTAATCTAAACTTCCTTTATTTAGTTTTTAACCCATTACCCCTTGTCCTGTCACTACAGTCCCTAATGAATAGTCCCTCCTCAGCATCCCTATAGCCCCCCTTCAGATACTGGAAGGCTGCTATGAGGTCTCCACACTGCCTGCTCATGTTCATTTTCTCATCGACCGACACCCCCAAGTCCTTCTCCACAGGGCTGCTCCGAATCTCTTCTCTGCCCAACCTGCAGCTGTGCCTGGGATTGCTCCGACCCAGGTGTAGGACCTTGCACGTAGCATGCTTAAACTTCATGAGGTTGGCATCAGCCCACCTCACAAGCGTGTCAAGGTCCCTCTGGATGCCATTCCTTCCCTCCAGTGCACCAACTGAACCACACAGCTTGCTGTCATCGGCAAACTTGCTGAGGGGGCACTCAATCCCACTGTCCATGTCAGCGATAAAGATGTTGAACAAAGCTGGTCCCAACACCAATCCCTGAGGGACACCACTCATTACTGGTCTCCAGCTGGACATTGAGCCATTGACCACAACTCTGCGTGTGGCCATTTTCAGTATCTCTATGTATATTTTTGTTAGATTTAAAACATGAAATAAAAAAGTTATGAGGGTTAACAAGTAATGCAGGGGAATGAAAACATACAGCTAAAGCTTTTACCTGGCACAGATACACCATACACATTTGCTTCTTGTATGAAGTCCAACATTACAATGACATCGGAAACTTCTGTAGTTGCAACATTCTCCCCTTTCCATCTAAAACACATTAGAAAATAATTTAGCCCCATGAAAACTTATGGACACCTCTTCTTGAAAAAAACATTACCTTTAGTAGGAATTCCATTCCTTTCAGACTAACAACATCTCAAATTTATTCTCACTTATCACACTGTTTTCTTTTTATCTGGCCACCAAAAGACTTGTAATTCAAATGATACAGGATATTAGCTATTACTAATGAAAGCTGATCATATTCTGATATAATGGTTTTCATTGATCATATTATGATATAATGGTTTTCAAAATTTTGATGTGTATCTAAACACATAAAATGTCACCAGTCTTCAGTATTTGATATTTTTTTTCCACTTCAGTATCCAACTTCCTTGATCACTGCAAAACCATCACTTGTTACTATGCTGATTGGAAAGACTGTTCAAAGAATTAATTCCTACAAAACATTCTGGAAATAAGCTATCCAGCTCTACAGGAACACTTTTTTAAAAATTAAGCCCCTAATATCCCTATAAGATCATTACAAGCTACATCATAATAGTAATAAACTGAACACTTCAGGCTGAAAACAAATAGAACAGTATTATTATATTCTGCATGTCCATTTTTATTTTTTTTTAAGTGAAGAAATGTGAAAATAAACAATGATTATACCTGAAGGTATCTCCAATTCTGTCCCAAAAATAAAGAAAATTCTCATGATCTTGAACCATTAGATCTCCAGTATTAAAATAAAGATCTCCCTTCTTAAATACCTCACAGAGTAATTTCTTTTCTGTGTGTCTCTTATTGCCAGCATATCCAAAGAAGGGGTTCTTTGCATTGACTTTCGAAATGAGAAGACCGGCCTCACCTATACAGAGAAGTTGAAAGAATGTAAACCTGGGATATCATTGCACATTTCCTGTACTTTACATTAATATTAATTTGGTACTCATGATTTTACAAGACCAGGAACCAGGGTTCCGTAGATAAGACCCAAAAATAACAACTGTTTCTACTGCTTTACAGTTCCTGTGGTCACCTCTACATGCAAAGGGACCATACAGACACACTACCATATTGTCTACTCAAATTCCTAGTCTTCTATATTTCTTCCTGATGACCCATCCTTGTTCTCCCAGAAATGTCATCTATCAATTATAAGTTCACTAGTAGGTTTACTAACCTCTCAAAGTACACCCTTCATATTAATATTACGTCCCACTCACCAAACCTTACTGAATTTGGAGTGCTGAGTCTGAACTTCATCCTACTGAAAAAACAAAAACAGGTATTCAACTCAGGCATTATATCCCTGAGTAGTCTCCTTTCTGAAGTTCTGAGAACAAGCCTTAAGACCTTTCATTGATGTGATACAGCCTCATTGCTTTCTTCTTAGAGTAAAATATAATAGTCTTAATTGTTTTTCTCAAAAATAGGGATAGATGGGGCTAGAATTATCCTGTCATGGATGTAGAGTACCTGGGTATCAGTTTGCTGAAAGTGGAATAGTACAAACTTCATACCTTTTTGGAAGCACATTCTGAACAATGAAGTTGAAGACTTATGTTTCTTTGTATCAGAAACAAAAATTGTAAATATGAAAACATGTAAAAATAAAAAAGCATGCAAAAGTATGCAGAATTTTTACTTTAAGACTGCCTCCTCATAAAAGAATATGTGCCTTTTTCCCATAAATTGGTAGTGTTTAAGATGAAACCATTTAGTTCACTGGTAGTGTCACTGCAGCTATGATGCTCTGAAGATAAAGGGCATTGGTGCTGATTGGTATAATTGGAAAATCAGACCAGCTGTCTAATTAGAGAATGTGTTCCCCTCACAGGCTAGTCCGTCATCCCTACAGATAATTTTCCTTATAAAAATTTCCTATTTAAAATTCATGTTTTGGGGACCATTTTTTCCTGAAAGTGTCCATCTTTGATTAAGACCTATTAGAGAATCTCTTAACTCTTTTGAAAAATATGCTTCATCTCCCTGTTAAAGTTGTCTGCCTGACCTTTAGTATGAGTTTTTTTTGCTTCAGCTTCCAGGCATTAATTACAGCTACTTTCCCACTGTACAACAGAGATGCTTCAGTATCTGATAAACACTTTGGAAATCAGTATAATCAAGAGATACTAGATGTTTGATAGGTATTTTGAGAGCAGACTATAATCAAGCAAAACAACAAAAAAATCTCTTAAAAAAACCCAAACAAATGTAAGCTTAATCAACTTGGTTTAGTTAGGAACACTTAATTTCTCACCAAAAAGCATTGATTTAATTGACCAGTCTTTCTCACAGAACTCTGAAGCAAACATCTCACTATGTTAACTCCCCTTAAAAATGAGAGATGTCATTATCTACATATTCAGAGATAATACCACACCACTTTTGAATGCTGCTCTTCTGTTAATATATTCTAGGATCTCCTAAATTCTTCTGGTGTCAGCACTAGAATGTTTAATACTGTTCTATCCTAGACCAAAATCACATTAGCACTAGAATGTTTAATAGTGCTCTATCTTAGACCAAAATCACATTGCTTTTGTCAGAGCAAAGACTAATAGTTGATGTTGGCAGAGGACAGTAACACAATAAGAGGGTTCCTTAAAAAAAATTATCTGAAGTACTTGTATTTCAATTAAAGGCTGTTATATCCTATTAAAATACATACTTACCTTTCTTAACTTTTTCACACCAACCATGCTTATTTCTGATTGGTTCATCTTTTTGGAAATCATACTTGATCAAATCAAATGGGAAAAAGAGCTAAGAGGGGGGGAAAAAAAGCGTCGTCAGTTATTCATCTACACAGTGACATCTGGTGGCAGCAGCTATAAGCAAGGAAACTTTTACCCCAGTCTTGCTCATCTAAACACAGAATGTAGTTTCATTTAAAACTGAAAACACTCTGTACGTAAACTTACACCATTTTCTGGAGTTAAGCAACATCAAAGAATTTTATGATGTTGTAACTTTCAAAAATACTTGAAGACATAGAACTGTAATTTTGTTATTTTTTTTAAGAGTAATTTATGGGATCCACCTATCAGTAGAAAAGTGTACACGAATCAGGATAATAGAAGCATACCTGGAATTTAACTGACATTTAATGGTGGTACCTGATATGAAAAGTATTCTTGGGGTATTCTGGCACATAAAACAACTGGCAAAGTAAAGACCTAAATCTCCTTACAAAGGGAAATATGCTTACTGCTGGGCTTTACTCTTGCTTACCTATCCTCAGTTCTTCCCTCAAGCTTTCTCAGGCTGGTGTATGGTGGGAAGTCTTATCACGAACATCAACAGAAGGATATATATTCCCATGCTATCTGACATGGTCATGTAGCTGTGCATGTTCCACAGTTACATCAGGGCTAGTTCTACATTCTTCTGAAATATTGTGAACACTTGAGTGCTGACACTGCTAATCTAACTGACTCCCTGATCATGTTTTACAACTAACCTTCCTCTTGTATATGGATCAGCAAGAATGTGGCTCTGAGGAAGCTGAAGGAGAGGGAAATATACTCTTATCAACACTAGAAATTGCAATACTGTTTTTCTCCAACACAGAGGATGTGAATCTTATTTCACTTCATTTTTCTACTGTGATATAAATCCAGATAAGACCTTTGAAAGACACTGACAGGTATCATATGCCTGATTCTACATGGACCACTCTGTTTGCAGTTACCATCCAGAGGTTTCAGTTGCCCAGTTTGGGATTCTGATTTCCTTTTTAAAAAAGAAGTGTATCAGCAATCTATTTAACAACAAGTCAAACCAAGAGTATACAATTATCTTCTCCTGGAGAAATCCTGGCAATCAGAGAAAACAGTTTTAAAAACATAAATATGCACCTGCGTTCCTCACAATAAAGAAATGTGATATAATTTGAGGATGGTGATAGGAACATGAGTGAAGGTTAGGATGCTAAAACATAAACCTCTTTGCTTTTCTGCAGCTAATTTGGATGAAGAGTTGCCTCACTATTTTATCTTAATTTGAAATGTTGCTGAAGCTATATCACATAATTTTGTTTTCAAGGAAGTCTGAATAAATAGCAACTTGAATCAAATATCAAGCACACAATATCAGCTTCATATGAACAAACTTATTTAACCAAATCTTTTTAATGTGTCTTCCTTTTATCATAAGTCTGAAACAAAAAGATATTCTTAATACTTGACCAAAGGAACATGGTCATAGCATGCAAAATCAATTAATGATTAATTTACTCCCTAAAGCACCATGTAAATGTATCAAACAAAAAACATCATTTATGCAGCTGAAACTTAAAATGAACTAACCTGCGACATTATTGTCTATTACTATGCTACCTGCATGTTATCTAGCAACAGCATCCCACCCCTATATGCCTTTTTTTTTCTTTATTGGAAATATTTGGGGTTAAATATTATTTTCAAAATAACTCTGAAATTCCTAAAGTTTCCACTTACAGTGAATGCTTACAGAACCTTCATCAGACGACAAAGATCACAAGCTATCACTTTGCATTTAATCATTTTAGAGACAAATATTGTTGAATTCTGTGGGAGAACATCTGTTTCCAAAACAAAGTGTTACATGTAACAATTCTAAGCATCTTAAAAAAGTGAAATGCAAGGAAAAAAAATAATTCTGGAGTATACTTTCATCATATCTTACAAAAGCTTTTAAAATATATTTATAATACATTCTTATGCTTTAAAGAATAGAAGTATATGTCCTCTGTACAGTTGTTTTGTTTGCCAAAGTAAACAAAACCAAGAAAAATACTTTTAAAAGTCATGCTTGATACTAACTGAATCATCACATACTATAATAAAATACCCTAGAATACAGTTGAAGTACCTTAGATTATTTTAGTTCAAAACCAGTCAAAGGAGCAGAAACAACACTCATTTTCCTTGGCCAATGAACTTAAGAGTTTCCATTGCTTGGATTAGGACATTCCAATGTTTCTCCTGTGAATCCAGTTTTCCAGGGTCGTAAATCTAACTTATTTACCTTTAAACCAAAAAGTATCTCTTACGCCACTTAAATTCTATGACTACATGAAAAAAGTGTGTAACATTAATTCTGCATTGCTGTGTAAAAGACAAAATATATATGTTGAAATAATTTATGATCTGTTATAAGATTTAAACATTTCTCAGCTTAAAGCTGGTTTTGAGTTATGAGTAAGAGAGATTTAGACTCTTGTAATAGTTGGGATACTTATACTTAAAATAATGAAAAAATACATTTATAAATACAGACTGGAATTTTTTTTACATGCTGTTTTTTCAGGTGTACTTGCCATGGGTTATTTTTAGCCCTTCTTACAAGCTTCACTGTATCGCACTAGTCCCACTCTCCCATGGCATGTTCTCTGCCATCACTCAGAATTTATTTTAGGGTCAGAAAGAGATTTATATATATATTTGATAGACATGACTGAGAGTCTTACAGATTTTTTGCCATATCACATTTGTATAAATACACATAATGTATGTCTTATATAATAAAATTTTAATAAAATCAATCAGTAACTATATACATATGTACACCAGATGTAAATACAGTAATATATTACTATGTGAATCTATCATTATTTTCTGTGTAAAGCCAGCTAAAAAGCTATTCAGAAGCTTTTACTTTTCCATTCATTGACTCTGTATGAACATCCTTATTGAAGGATTTATTCATATAGCACAGTGATGCTTCCAAGCACATGAACCAATGCCTCTTACATGAAGAGTATAGTGTAAAAATACACAAATGCAAGCAAGAGCACTCCTTTGAGTTAACATCTCACACACAGTGGCTTCTTGGATGTCTGGCAACTGTTGTAACTTTCATCTCTTTCTTCCCATTACCTTGTATCTTCCAATATATGAAAGTAAATGTGTTCTGTAGAACCTTAATATTTCTCACAAGTATTTGTCCCCAGCCCTTGGTAGTTACTGACAGAAAAGTTACTTTGCTCATTCTAAGAGCTTAATTTCTCATTTAAAGCTGTAACTTTTGGCTGCATTTCACCTTTAGAAACTGCCATTGGCATCACATAGAGCAGAAATGCCTTCCTTTTCTTTTTACCCGGCTAAAAATACTATGCTTTAAACCTACCTACTATTATTCCCATTATACTCTTGGTAAATGTCTATATGGGGTTTTATACTGCATTTACTTCATTTCAACTGTGCAATTATGCCAACAGAAAGAGAGTAAGTTACTTCCTTCTCCTTCTGCGTATCATATATATGAACATAGAGGCCTCTTCTCTTTCTCAATTCTCTCTCTATTCCCAGTTTAAGAAATAGGTGTTAGGTAAATCCCTAACATAGAGAATATGTCTCCCAAACATAAAGAATACATCTAAGGGTATCCTCATATTATCCCATGTGTTAAGAGAATAATGCTTCAGAAGTTGTTGGAGCATTTGTTTGAAGAAGCAAAAACAACAACCAACCAACCAACCAACCACCCAACCAAAAACAAAAAAAAACCCACAAAACCCACAAACAAAAAAACCACAGGCACTGGATGGCTGTGGATTGTCTCTGCCATTCTCTGTTTTCCAGCAGAAGAAAGTCTCGCTTTCCAATTTCAGATCATTTATGATTCAGCAAATTAGAAATAAAGGTGCTCTCCTTTACATATTGCTAGAAGTCCAGCAGATGTCTTTCAGATTGAAGTAAAACAAGCACAGGAACTACCCCTGACAATGCATTAATAATCTTCAACCTTTAAAATGTTTTTAAATAACCCACAACAAATGCCTGTAGTAAGAATAAAGTAGTCTGAAACTTCCTTGATTTAGAAGAGATTTGGGGCAGTTGTATTCCCCCATAAAATGGGTCATATAATCCACTCA